GGGCCGTGGGGGGCTCGGGGGGCTGCCGGCGGCGCGGCCGGAGGGGGAGCAGAGCGCGGCCGCTGCGGCGCCTCAGCCCGGCAGCCAGCTCCCGCCTCAGCCCGCCCCGAGGATCGTCCGTGCGCCCGAAAAATACCCAGCTGAGCCCCGATTTGCGTTAGGATGCGGTTCGCGTCCCCTTTCCCCCCCGGTGGAATCCGTTAGCGGCGGAGGAGGGAAGGGTGGAATCCGTTAAGGAGCGAGCAATGGTGGCCGCAGCCCTGGAGATGCGGAGCCGCCCCAGGGTCGCCCGCTGGCCTGGCTGGGCAGAGGGGGACCTCTCCTATCCCATGGTTTCAGAGGGACCATCACCAGGGAATCTCCAAAGCCCTTTATTTAAAGTGATTTTTAAAATATATAACTGTAAACGTACGTGACTGAGCCGCGAGTGACAAGCCACGTGCAGTTACAAACCCAGAAGCGTGCCGCCTGGAAGTAGCTAGTGGTAGGACCGATGTTTGACTTTGTCGGTTACTATAAAATCTTACAGCTCTTGGTTCCTTTAATTTATTTGCAGGACTGAGGTCAAATTTGCACAGTACCACGGCACCAGCGATTGCGTGTGATTCCACGCGGAAAGAAGTTTACAAGGATTACACATTAACGCCCAAGGTACTACCATCATTATTTCTGTAAGTTGCAATAATGATTTTTCAGTGCAAGATTTAGCATCCTTGTTTTGAAGAGAAGGACTCCACGCAAAGCTGAAACATTCACTGGAGATACACATCAACAGAGGCATAGACATCTGCAGATCTGTAAGAACTACGCTTTTGTCAGCTGATGTTCAGCCGACCCATGAGAAGTTGTTTTTTTTATGATTAATTAGATAAAATATAGGGGGTTGCAGATTCCCATTCAACATCTTTGATCCAATCCTGGAAGTTACAGAGGATTATGTAGTCCTGCTTGAGTGGTCTGGGTATCCTTGTTGCCATTTCACCAGGAGTTCTGCTTTTTCTTAGTGCCATGCCTGTTGTTTGTTTTTTTTTATTAAAAAAAACAAAATCAATGCTTCCTTGCTGCCATCTCTGACCTCTGCTGTTTTTGTTTTGTTTTGTTTTGTTTTGTTTTTCAGACATGCAGCTGCCACAAGACAGCCAGGAAAATCCCTGTACTTTATGATCTCTTATGTCTCCCCATTGCTTGTGGGGGCTGCAGTTGTTCCAGTTACCTCACTACATAAAGTAGCTTACTGGATTAGTTTTTGCTATCTTAAACTTCAATGGCAGCAAGGAACTAACAGGAACTAACCAGTGCCTTTTGTTCAATTCAGCCTCTTACATTATCTTTCCATTGTGGAATACTTGGAAGAAGGTAATAGTGATTTTGTCACCTAGGTACCTTCAGTTGTATTTGTTCATACGTGCCAGGTGCCTAGCTAAATTATGGCCTTATATACACATGAGGAGCTTTGCTGGGCTTACAGGAAAAAAAAAAAAAAAGCATCAATTTGTCATGCAAATCTTTTCCTGGCATTAATTTTGCTACTGAAGGCCAACCGTTCTGGACTGGCACTTGAAGCAGGGTGGAGCATCATCTTTTTAATTAAATTTGCTGTGGAAAAAAGAAGCAGAACAGTCATCTTGCCATGTCCTTTTTTATGTGGATGGGAATTTTATGGATTAGTAGTGGACTTCAACTGAAGAGCTGAAAAGGCTAATGAATTCTTTCAGAGAACAGCATGAAGTCTTTCGTTCTTAAACTTTGACTTAAAGGACAGTTATTAGCCATAAATGGCTTTCACAGCTGTTCCTTAGGTTAGGTGGAGCTGGGAAAGCTGGCAAAATAGCACGAACAAGTTCAAAAAAGGAATGAGGGTGGAAAAGAAGAGGTTCATCTTGGAAATGTTGGTAGAGCTGTAGGAAAACATTCAAAAAGAGGAAGAAATCTGCAATATCAATGTGTAGGAGTGAAAGTGGACAGTAAATTACATATGGCCTCACAGAACAGCATAATAACAAAACCTTCAGAATTTAAGCCTCCGTGTGAAGTATCCCATCACTGAGGAAAGAACTAATAGACTTTTTCTTCCGCTTCTTTGGCATAACTACCCTCTGCATACTACTTAACTAGGTCATGCCTGGGATATTTTTGGGAATCTTCCTGTTAGAAAATTACACTGAAGGGAATTTAAAGAAGAGCAATTAAAATAATTAAGGAGATGGAGGGATTGATTTATGAGACAAGATCAAAAGAGCTGGAATATTAAAACATGTTTCACAAATGCTGTGGAGTTTGAATGACATCACATTGTTAAGATTAGCACAAGCTATATGGAAAGAGTGTATTCAGTGTAAGATTACGTGCATATTTTGAAACCAGTAGCAACTGCAAAAATGGGTGCAACGGGAAAAAAAAGGTTGAGACACTGGTGTTTGCCGAGTTACGGAAAGCTTTGTGCTGAAAAGCAAGGGCAGGGCCCCTACCCTCTACAGGTAGATTAGACAGATTAGATAGAAGACACAGGCTGATGGGAACAATCTTGCACTGGAAAATAGTTGGGACAAAAGCCTTGTATGGTATGCAATAACCTAGAGCACTAGAGGTGTGTTCTAGTCTGCATCATCTCTCTTCTCTGTATGGAACCATGGTGGGCTGAAATGCCAAGTGTTTCAAGTCTCAAGGTTTTTTCAAGCAGAGCGGAATAGTATTTTTAACCACAGGCTCCCAGTTCACCTTCCCTGGCTGCAGCAACTGCCACAATCCAAAGTTCACCTCAGAAACTGAAGTTAAAACCAACTTTTTCTCATAGATAGCTAAGAAATCCTTTAACAAAAAGATTTTTTCCTCATGTTTATGGCCTGTTCATAAATTCATTAACTTGAGGTCCTTCTGAGGCCTACCTAGGATACACTAGGATTGCTTGATGTTAGTAGACTTTTTTCCCTGAATGGCGAAACAAGTTTCTGAAGTGATGAAACATTTGAGACAGGAGTTCACAAAGGTTGTGTTAGCACTTGTTTAAGGAATACCTGTGTATCTCATGGCTTTGTCATTCATTAATAATGTGGTCATCTCACAATGCTAATTAAAACCTTAAAATCAAATGTACCTATTTAAAATATACGCACACACAGAGGTTCTATCCCCATTCCCAATTCTGTATGTTCAGAGTATTGTTAAACATTACCGGTTTATGCTAAGCAGAGGCATTTATACAGTACCATTAAATAATCAGGATACCTTGCAAACATGTAGCCCCATGCTGAAGTGACTGCTAGAAGACAGTACCAAAATGGGAAAAGCAGGGTCTGCAAACAAAAGAGGGTTAGAGTTTGATGCAAATGCCTGGAAGCAGTTTCATCGCCTTCCCTGTTTATGCATCATACTGGGTCAGTTTTTCCCTCCAGGCATTTTTTTTTTTTTAAAACACAACTCTAGTCCTAAAGTACTTGCTTATAATTTATAGAAGTTATGGTAAATTTTAAGGGGTAGGAGAGCAAAAATACATCCTTTTAGAAAAGTAGTATGGGGAAAAAAGGGTCTTGTAAATTAGTGGTTGTTCCTTGAAAATGATTTGAGGTAAGAATGTGGTACCACAGTCATGACCAAATTGAAGGTCATCTCTTTACAAAGGAGTGTATATTATTATATAAGACAACTTAATGTTTTTTTGAGGTGAACATCTGTTTAATACATCCAAGAAAACTAGAACTCAATATTCTAATGAATTTACTTCTTTCGTTCTTATTTCTACTTTTGTGTCTGAGCATGTTACTGTTTACTAAAACATAATTTATCTCCCCCTTCTTGGATGCTCACAATCAAATATGTAGGCTTGCTGGGGCATTGCTCTCAAGACTTAAAAAAAGAGATATCAAAATGCCTCTTTCAAATTAAATTTAGGCACTGTGGAGCCTACATCTTACTGGAAACCATGAAAAAAAAAATCTCTAAATTTACAAACGAGCATATTGAGTTGAACAAGGAAACCCATTCAAGTAGATTACAAGAGGAGTAAAGACTTTTTTCTTCATTTTTTTGTTTAAGTTGTGCAAACAAGGACCCTGGAGAGTCAAATTATATCATAGAATGTAAGGCTTCTCACAGAACAGGAGAACAATATCAGGAAGTTTTAGCGAACTCAGATAAGACTTAATTGCTTAAATAAGTGCTACCATAGATTATAGCAGCTATTATACTCCCTGCTTTTTGAGAGCCCTCTGCTGCATTTTGGCCAGAGTGCTGCATTCGAACCCTTTTGATGGGATTTCCTTTAATCCAAATAGACTCCAGTCTGTCCCTTTTGCACAGAAGTTATTTACCACGGAGGTGAGACCTTAGGTCCAGTGGCCCCAGGATCCTGGTCACCCTACACACCTTCTTCAGGGAAACCCTACTTGTGTTAGCTAATGAGTTTTACTTGTGTAAAACTAATGAGGTTTCAAGCTTGACAGAAACTAACAAATTCTTTTGATAATGCTGAGAAGTAGCCATGGAAACCACTGACAGACCATTCCTTACCTTTGCCTCCTAACCACCATCTTCTAAGCTTAGCCCAGGGTCGTACCTTTAACCTGTATATAGTGGGGAAGCTTAAGGGTTGAGTCTTTTTTCCTACCTGCCAGAATGCCACAGGCCTGACAGAGTTTCTCTCTGTTTCTCTGTAAATGTTTGATCACACAACAGAATTTCTCAGGATCCCAACTAATACTGTCTCACACCCAAACCAAATACAAGGAAAGGCTAGATGAACACTGCTTTTCCACCCCAACCACAGTCTTACTTGTGAACCAATCACATGACACAGCAAATTGTGGTCAAGCTTTCCCTTAACATCTGTGTCATCTCTCAGAACAGCTACATCCTATAAGCGGTCCCTTTTGGTGTTTGAAAATAGCCCCTGAGAACCCTTTTTATAACTTTTATCAGATGACCTCCCCCACTCCCTCTTCATCCCCAGTCATCATCTGATCCCATGGCCGGCTTATCAGGTGATTCCCAATCCCACATCAGATGATCATTATCTTGGGTAGCAACCAAAGGGCTTGCCTGGCTTGTCCACCTTCTTTATCATGCCTTCACGTAGTCCAGATACACCTCTTCAGACATTGATAGGGCCTGCTAGTACTAGTCTTCCTTTATGACCTAAGCTATAAAAGTTAGCTGCATCAGCTTGTTAAAATATCTTAACCACTCCCAAGTGGTGACTTACAGACCCAGTTACAGAACAGGACCTGTGTTTCAAAATCAAAAAAAAGCGGGACAGAAAAAATTGGATTCTGATCCTTTGTTTAACTTATATGTAGAGCTGAACAACCACAAGCTCAGGTGAGATCAGAACACCAGTGCTGGGGTTGCTATATGTGATATGGTAGGGACTTTAGCCCTCTCCTCATTTCCATCAGTCATGGAACAGAGTCATTTTTCTATTACCATAAACTAGTATTTTTTCTACTTTGGCTTCTATTTCCAAATAATTACAGTCACAAAGCCAGTAATGCACAGTCCATTTCCACAATCCAGCCAAGTCACAACATCTTGTCTACCCACTGATCATTTCCCGTGTTATGCAGGTGACTTCAGGAAGAGGTTAGTCCCTGGATATCAAAAAAATGCACCAAACAGGTAAATGCCCTATCTTTTTCATCACAGCACGCTGTATCCGATAAGCAGCATTCTCCTTTCTTTTCATCAAGATCAGCAGTTACAGTTGAAATAATGTAAAAATGAAATCAGACCAATGAAATCTTAAAAAAAAAATAGAGATAGTTTCTTTTTATATCTTTTAAACCACTGTAAATTAGGGGAAAATATACATGGGTCAGTAATTTGTAACCATGGCCTTCCATAACATGAAGGAAATACTGTTCTTTCTGATCAAAGTGTTTATAGGGAGGGAGGGAAGCCCTGCACAGAGAATGGATGGTATATTGATTAAAATTAGAATTATTAATTCATCCAATACGAGGAGGCAGTAAAACAGATGACCAAAAGAGAGACAGTGTAAAAAAAGACAGTGGAAAAGATGTTTTTACTTGCAGTAGAGACCAGTTACACTCACCTTACTTTATATACACATTGTGCAATATTGTTTCTCATAAAGTTGTTCCTTTTAGTTGTCTTTTCTAATTCCTTTTTGAGTGATGATCCCCCAGTGTGCAATCTATAAGAAACACTGGTAAATGATAATGTGAAATTTTTTGTCATATCTGTATTATGCACTGGATTTAGGGCTTCTTACATGAAATGCTGTTGCTACCAAAGTCAAAGACAGACTTACTGCTGACTTCAGGGGAGACTGAATTTTAGTCTTTGGTGCACTGCAGACAAGATTAGATTAATGCTCTGTTTGTTACATGGTCATTTGACTTTCTAGGCAGAATTGTACGTAACTGCAGTCAAAATATAAAACCAGGGAGGGTGAACAAAATGCTTAAATGCATGCTGATAAATCATACTAGCTATTATTAAGTCACACACGTGCTGTCATAACTCTGTAAGGGGTATTAGCTTATGTTCACTAGGTCAGCTTTTTTATTATAAGCAGAGGTATTACCATCTTGTCTGTCATGAGTGAACCTTTTGGTTTCAAGTGCAATACAAATTCCAAGGAGACAGATAGTCTCTTCCTAAAAGGGATTTCCAGATTAAATAAAGGTGCCTGTCTAAAAGGCCAAAGTGTAAGCGCAGAACAGCTGTTCCACATCAGGCTCTCCCATGAGCCCCGTGCTTGAAGCTCATCTCATCTAATTTCAGATGTCTACAATCCAGAAGCCTGTATTTGATTTCATTGACTTGGCTGCCTTCGCAAACAGCAGAGAGCCATTTTTAAGATGCAATTCATCTCACCCTGCAGTAGATGTCTAAAACAGATCAGATAAATTGTGCTTTGCTTCTCTCTGTTGACTATGAACAGTTCAGGTGAATTCCACTCTGCCATTCCACATCAATAGAGTGCATTGCACAGATTAAATTCATTTCCTTCTATTCAGAGATACTCTCAACAGGGAATAAGAGTTGCCATGTGGTGAGTTTGAGCAATGATTGCTCTTAAAAAGTTTGCTTCTTAGCAGAAACTTTTGCACAAACTTATCCATTCATTTTCTATTGTAAATAAGAAAGAATATGTGCTTAAGAAAGAGAGATGAGTTTTCCAAAGGAAAAACCAATACAGTAAGATAATACCAATCAACTCAGCAGGCTCATTTTATTGACTACCAGACCATTTTTGAGTTTATTAAATGCATCGTAGAAAAAAGTTGGAAGGCCCTTGTAAAGGACTTTGTGGTTATTCACAGGCAGTTCCTCTAAAAAGTTGTCAGGTAACATCTAATTATAAATCTGTATTTTTAAATGCAAGGTAATTAAATCGAAAGGTAGAATCAAGAATGTAGTCCAAAGTGATTGATCTATAGTTCACCAAATACTTTCACAATTAGAGCTACAATGATTAGACCAAATGTGGAGAAAAAGACAAAAATATAATTAATCCTCCAAAATTTAGATAAAAATGCTAAGCCTAAACATAAAGTAGAATATTAACGGATTGTAGTCTGATACCAAAACTTCACCAGAACTCAATGTATTAAGTAATAGCTGGCATTAATTACAGCAAAGTGACTTTTGGAATTAACATAAACATTTTCAGCCGCAAACAGCCTGTTGTCTTATATATCAGAAAACCTATGTGTTCTTGCAACCTAAAAGTTTGTCAAATAACATTCACTTGTGGAGTTTGGCCCTCCCTAGTGCCAGCTCAGCCTTTACTATAATATCTCCACTGATGCTTTAAGAGAAAGAAATATCTTCTGACTAGAGCAGTAGGTCAAGAGTCGGGAGATCAGTGTTTTAATTCTTAAACTGGTACTGATTATTCCACACTGGATAAGTTAGAAACTACCTGAAAAGTGGTGGTAATAGCACTTTCTTTCTCTATTAGTTTTTAAGTCCTTGAGGACAGAAACTGTTTCAGCTGTGACATTTTTAAAAATACAAAAATATACATTTTTCTTGTGAACAATGTATTTGATTTTCTACATAAATTTTCCATCATGTTTCTTTATTACTTGCCTTACATTATCTGAATAATTCCTCAGTCAGTCTTTATTATATTCTCCAGTTATT